AAACAGAAGTTCATTCTTATTTTACTTCATTTATTGATATATGTTTGCCCTTCTTATTTCATCCCACAGAATGTATTCCCAAAATGTTAGACGAAAAAGTAAAAGACATCTAATGTATTTGGTGAATAAAACTTGCAAAATGACGTGGCACATATGTACGTAATAAATGAATGAAATTTAGAATACGGATTTCGTCATTGCCAGATGGAGAGGAATCTGGCAAAGTCAATCGTCCAAAAAAAGATAGTGATACTTTTTTATTAATCGAAATATTCATCATTATAATATGAAGAAGTACAGTATTGACACTGAGATGTAAATAGAAATATAAGAAGACCAACTGTGTAATAGTGTCGTGGAGACTAACGGCGATTTGGCGATTTATTTCAGGCACGCTCTAAACAGGTCAGATAGAATTTTGCCAGTTTGAATTTCAGAGATCTTTTCAAACTGTATATAGCGTTCCTTTTTCCCTCCAAGATATGAACTTTCGTTAATGTATGACAATTTTGATATCAGCATACGATTGTACCCTTGAGCTTTACATCTCAATAATCGGGATTGGGAATGATTGTGAATCTATATAATGGGAGAGGATGAAGAGAAGAGCAGGTAGAGAGAGAGAGAAGAGGAAGAGAGAGCGATGCCAGCTATTTTATCCCCACTTCGAAATCGTTGAGGGCTACGGGACCACGTGATCGACCAGCAGAATTCGCGGTGTCCGCCGAAAATCTAAATCCGTCCGAGCCGGGGAAGAAGAAGAGACCACCGTCTTGGCCTGCGCGACACGAAACAGCCGCTGCGATCGAGATAGTTCATAATCGCCCGTGGCTCGCGGCGGATCGATCGAGGGATCGCGCGCGAGTGTAAAATCCGCGCGAAATCTCCTTTTTTTCCGCCGTTTTCATTTTTGCGAGCAAAGGAGGATAAGAGAAAGAAAGAAAGAAAGTGAAAGAGAAACGGGAAGAAATCGCGGAGAAAGTTCACTGTTTTCGCTCTCCTTCTTTCTGTTTCCCGGGAAAACGAGAGAACGGCAGCCACGACGGCGGCCCATTCGTCGTGAAATCGCTCGAGGAACATGATCCGCGTGGACGAATCAGACCCAGTGGGAGGTAAGAGAAGAGGATAAAAGAACGGGAAATAATTATTTTTACCGAACAAAACAATATTAGAATAATGGAAAAGGGGAAGACATTTTTTTCGGCCGTGTTCCGATATACCCTGCCAGTACTGAAAATTTATTACTCATGTTATGTATAACAAAATTTTCAGCACTGGCAATGTATATCCTGACGAAAATAAAAATTGGAGCGTGAGTTGAATGCAAGGAAAGAGTGATAAAAGGGTAAACAAAACTTGTACACTAAAAAACAAAATTATTAAATTTTAATAAACATTTATTTGAATTTATTCTAAGTAAAATATTTACTAAACGTAAACATATATTTATTTGATGCAAAAATCATTAATTTGATTTAACTATCATTTTTTTTTATTGAGTAAATATTTATTTGCTGCAAGTAAATATTTACTTAGTGCTATTTAAAGAAATATGTTAAGATTCAATAAATTTTTTTAAATGTACAATAGGAAGTGAAAAGGACAACAAAACGTATAAAAAAAGTCTCAACGCCTCACTTTATTGTCCCAATTTTCGTCTTTTAGAAGCTTCATTTACTCTTCTGTCACTCTTGTATTCGACTTACACTCCGGTTTTTATTTTCTTTTTAGAAATACAATTTCACTCGACAAATGCGGGAAATACGTCCGTGGAGAATGCGAAACATGCGCGCCTGTCAGCGCGCTCGGTGGAATGGCGCGACTTTCAGGAAATCAAAAGGCGGTTATTGTTACCCAAGCAATATCGATGTGATCTCCGCTATCGCGTAATGCCCAAGTATCATCATATTAAAACTAATGTATTCTCGACGAAGTCAATTTTAGTGATACAGAGAGGCACGTCTCGGACGAATCTCCACGCCTTGAACAAACATAAAAGCTATTTTCGCGTGTTTGGACCGTTGGAATTTTGGGTATTTTGGAGAAAATTAAAACATTAATCTTTTATCTTCAATCCCGCGTGATAGCTGGCGGAAAACCTTTTTGGAAATCAAAATATTGAAAAGTGTAATAAACAGAGATAAATAATTAAAAAAAAAGAAATAATAGAAATAAAAATGAAAGACATAATATTAATAAGAAATAAAGATTAGAGTCTATTTATGGAGCGTTTAATTTGAATGGGCTTGAAAAATGGGATCGATGATACTTTTTTGAAGAGAAAAGAATAGTAAAGTAAGACGTTAGGAAAACTAGAAATAAATTATTACAAAATATACAACAAAATTTGCTAACAAGAAAATGATAAGAATACAGAATTGTCAGTGAAGTCTTAAGGAAAAGTTGGCGCCAAAACTCTCGAAGAGAACGACACGTGAATCTTAAAGCCTGCCTTCTGTTTCTTTTAACGAATTTTAAAGACAGTTCAAGATACCACCGTCGTCTGGCGATGAAATTGAATGCCAAACACCTACTCACCCCCGCATTCCATTCTTCTCACTATCGCACGCCTGTTTTCAGAGATCGAGCCCAGTTTCCCATATAGAGATGTGACGGTACGCCGAGGTGTCGAGTTCAAGGACGATTATGACATACAGTCGGAGCTCGGACGGTGAGCGATTAAATTCGTCGATCAGCGAATGCATATAACGCCTGGTGTATCGTGCCAACAGCGTGTCAATCACATGCAATCGATGCATATTAATCTTGATACAACCAGGAATCTAACGTTGTGACTGAAAGGGGAATTTCCAAGAAGTCAATACGTAGATTACATCAACATATTTAATTAGTTTAATTTATCAACTTTCAGAGTACATACTCCTTCTGTGCGATAACCCTTCTGATCTAGAGCGTAAAAAAAAATACTCAAAAAATCAATGCACTTACGCTTCTTTTAACT